GCTGGGCAGGCTCCGGGCAGGAGGAAGAGAGAGATAGAAACATCAATGATGAGAAAGAATCATCTGTTGGCTGCCTCCTACGCGCCCCCTACTGGGGATAGAGCCCACAATACAGGCATGTGTCCTGACTGGGAATCGAACCATGACCTCCTGGTTCATAGGTTGATGCTCACCCACTGAGCTACACCGGCTGGGCCTGGTTTTTACTGTTTTGGTGATATGAATTGAAAGAAGAAATATCATTACCACATGGGGAAACCCCCAACCAAATAAATATAAAATAGATAGTTAATGCTTTTCCCCTTCCATTGTTGCTCATTTTGGGATGCTGGTACTAAACTTCTAAATGTTGTGATTTAAAAAGAAGTTTTATGCCCTACTTGTTTGTTTCTAGGTTGAGGGGAAGATAACATTTTTTTTTTCTTTCTCATGTGACTCTTAAAAAAATGTGCAGTGTGAAGTTCCTCAAAATTAAATCTTTACCCTTAAAGGGGGGGAGGGGGCGGGAAACACCTCAGATAAGGTGCTTACCCTCGCTGAGAACTGAGGGTTGCATTTATGCTGACCTTGAGACATTGATTGACCTGTTGCCTCCTGCACCTGCCCTGACCGAGGATGGAACGGCAACCTAGGGATGTGCCCTGACTGGCAGTTGAACCTGAAACTTTTTGGTCTCCAGGATGATGCTCCAATCAACTTAGCCACAAGCCAGGGCTTGGACTATCATTTTTGATAAGTAAATGTTCCCTCATTTTGCTATTACCTATGAAGACAATGACTGACATTTATAATCACGATGAAAACAAAACCGCCAGAACTCCTTGGGTGGGCTAGGATTCTGGGTAGGCCCAAATAGGACAAAGCAGGATGTCAGAGGGGCTTCTCTGAGAGTCTTTATTTGTTTTGTGGGTTTTTTAAAAATATATTTTTATTGACTTCAGAGAGGAAGGGATAGGGAGAGAGAGATAAAAACATCAATGACGAGAGAGAATCATTGATTGGCTGCCTCCTGCACACCCCCTAGCGGGGATCGAGCCCACAACCCGGGCATGCGCCCTTGACTGGAATCGAATCTGGGACCCCTCAGTCTGCAGGCCAACGCTCTATCCACTGAGCCAAACCAGCTAGGCCCCGTGGTCGGCAAACTGCGGCTCGCGAGCTACATGCGATTCTTTGGCCCCTTGAGTGTGGCTCTTCCACAAAATACCACATGCGGGCGCACATACAGTGCGATTGAAACTTCATGGCCTATGCGCAGAAGTCAGTTTTCGGCCTGGGTGAGTCTATTTTGAAGAAGTGCGGTTGATATTTGACTCTGTTGACTAATGAGTTTGCCAACCACTGAGCTAGGACATGAGAGTCTTTTTAAAAAAAAAAATAATTCCCATCTGGCTCTCCTCAATCTAGTCCTTCTTTATGACCCTGGAATACTTTACACTCCTCTAAATTTGGCTCTAAACCCACTGTATTATAGTTTCCTGTTGATTTGTCTTTCTCTTGCTCTTGGACTGCAAACAGAAAAGATAGATGCTGAACTTGCTGAATTAATGAAGTCAACAATCTTTTATTGGATTCCTAGTGTATGGCAGGCACAGTTCTAGTTACTGGGGATATAGCAAGGAGCATAAGTGGAGAAAGAATCCTCGACTTTCATTCTAGTGGGAGGAAACAGTTAATAAGGAAACAACATCTGTAGTGTGTCAAATGTTGGTAAGTGCCATGGATAAAAACAGAGAAGAGGTGTGGGGGCTGCTGGGCAGGCAGTGAGCAGATACCTGTGGACATTTAGGGGAGGAGCATGGCAGAGGAAATAGCAGTGCAAGTGCCCGGGCCAGGGTGCACCCAGTGTGTTCGGGAGCAGACAGGAAGGCTGAGTGATTGGAGGGGAGGCAGTTCGGAGGGTAGTCAGAGATCAGATCAGAGAAGTAAGCAGGGGTTGCAGATTGTATAAGACCTGGCCGGCCAGGGTAAGAGTTTTTAAAACTTCTGAATGAGGAGTCAATAGGAAGTTTTGAGCAGAGGAGTGATATGATCTGGCTTTTCATGTTGAAAGAATCACTTTAGCTGTTGGATTGAGATATAACACAAGAAAGCAAAGACTAAAGTAGCAAAATAGTTGGCAGGTAATTGTAATAACCCAGGCAAGAAATTATGGTGGCTTCACCATGGAGCAAGCGCACAGGTTAGGGTCTGGATTCACTGAGCAGGCTGTGAAATGAGAGATAGATAGATAGATAGATAGATAGACAGACAGGCAGATAGATATGGCAAGCATGATTCTAAATTGTTGGTTTGAGCAACCAGGAGGATGGAGCTGCCTTCTGCTATGCAGGGACCTCAGGAGGAGCAGGTGTGAGGTATGGGGAAGACCAGAAGCTTTGTTTTTGGACATATGAAGTATGAATTGCTTATTGGACATATATTTCTTTTTTGTTGTTGTTGACTTCTCCATCCAAACTGGAGAGTGGGTGGTGTTTCTTTTTCAGTATCACAATCTAACGGGAACTGAGAGTTTATGTAAACAGTCTGGCAGGAATTGAAACTGTGGAAGGGTTGGGGGTTATGTTTGGATGTTTTTGTTCAAACATAGGAAGACAGATTCACATCCTACAATCCCATTTTCCTTCAGCGATGAATACAACACTTTATGCAGTCTTCAATAGCCAGCCCAGGGCTATAAGCCCTCGGTGTTGTGGGCTTTTGGATTAAGGTAATTTTGAATGGAAGCTGGGAATGATAAATGTGTGTGAGCGCCGTTGGGAGAGGCCGTCCGCCGAGGGCCCTGACTGTCCCAGCATGCTCTTGAGCATGTTAGGCTGATCTGTCTTCTGATACAGAGCAGTTTCTCTGGTTAGTCACAGAGGTGATTAAGTAGGTCACCGTGGGGAAGTGGCTTGTTTGCTGCCTGCTGGGCCCTTGACCCTATCATGTAAGCCACTGCTTGTGCAGGTGTCATGTGGGGGCCAGGGAAACTGATGCAAATGTGCTGATGTTATAGGCTGTGCTGTTAGTAATAAAGTCTTTTGTCTATGGCCCAGGAGTTTTCTGTCGTCTGCTGCATTCACAGAACAGTAACAGGATAACTTGTTAGAGTGTAAGTAAGAGCCGAGCTACCTCCAAAGAGCTGAGCCTAGCCGCCACGGGCCGAGACTAGCCTTAAGAGCTGAAGCCAGCCCCGAAGGGATAACCTTATTTCCTAAGAGCCGAGCCTAAACCCAAAGAGCCCAGCCTACCCCTGAACAATACAGTTCCTCATGTTGTGGTGACCCCCAACCATAAAATTATTTTTGTTGCTACTTCATAACTGTAATTTTGCTACTGTTATGAATCGTAATGTAAATATCTGATATGCAGAATGTATTTTCATTGTTACAAATTGAACATAATGAAAGCATAGTGATTCATCACAAAAACAATATGTAATTATATATGTGTTTTCCGATGGTCTTAGGTGACCCCTGTGAAAGGGTCGTTTGACCCCCAAAGGGGTTGCGACTCACAGGTTGAGAACCACTGACCTAGACCCAGAGAACCCAACCTAGCCCGGTAGAGTTGAGCCCCGACCTGAAGGGCGGAGTCAAGACCCTCAGAGGTGAACCTTATCGCTAAGGGAGGAGCCCAGTCCCAAAGGGTGGAGCCTTGTGCTTTGTGAATGAATGATTTACTTCATTTTATTCCTTATAGGAGTAGAGAGATAGGCTCGACTCTCTACTCCTCAGATGGCCAGGACCAGTTGGGGAAGGACTCTATTCTCCCCCCGCCCCCAAGGACTTTGCTTATGAATGAAATACTTGAGGGGGCAAAATGAAGAAAACTGATTACATGAATCTTGAAGAACTTAAGCTAATTTTTAATTTACTCAGTATGGAGTGGTAAATGTGAGTCTTTTCCACAATCTCTTAGGGTTGAGTAAAGGGTGGGAATAGGAGGAAAGATCATTTTTGGGTAAAAGTAGAAGATAATGTCTGGTGAAAATGAAGGAAGTCTTAGTCCACTTTTGCCTAGGGATAGACAGGTAGCCAGGCCACAAAAAAATGCAGGACTTTTATTTTTACAAAGAAAATCCATTTGCATTTATTTTTAAGAAATTTAAGACTGTCTAGGCCACTGGACTGCTTAACCTTCCCTGTTCACATTAATTATTCTAGAGTCTACCTCCCTCCTCTGTGGAACTGATGCTCAGACACCCATAGCAACTGGGAAGCGTACAAGGACCCAGAAGAGTTAGTAATTGTCCAAGGGGACACTGGAATGGGGCATCATTTCAGCAAGTGTCAACTCTTCAAAAATGTACAGTACTAATGTGATGTACTGAATTCAGGCAGTGTTGTAATTCTGATCTTTACACTGTGTACACTGCAATCTCTCTTCCTTCTCTTGGAGCTCTTTTTGAATTGATACCAATGATGACAAAGGGAGGGAGCGCATGATGGTGCTTGTGTGGAACCATCAACATCAAGAGCACACAGATTAATCGGCATCACAGCAGTGGGTTTGATGTGATATAATGAGACTTCGTTTTCCCACCAGTGATTTCCTCAGAGGTGTATCTGATGTTGATGTCACACCCCACCCCGACCCCACTCCCCAGTGTCTGTATAAATCTGTTCTTAGAGGGATGAAGGAGAGAGTGGGAGAGGCACACTGTGACAAATTATACCTAAGTAAGCTGATGTTGATCTAGATAATCTGTACTCATGTTTTTTTCCCCCTAAGAAAGTAGGAAATACAGTGGAACCTCGGTTCTCAAACTTAATTTGTTCCAGAAGGCTGTT